GGCACAAATGATCTACGAGTGATGGCCAATGGAACAATTGATCTACGAATGATGGCCAATGACACAAAAGATCTACGTGTGATGACCAATGGCACAAATGATCTACGAGTGATGGTCAATGGCACAAATGATCTACGAGTGATTTTCAATGGCACATATGATCTACGTGTGATGGCCAATGGCACAAATGATCTACGTGTGATGGTCAATGGCACAAATGATCTACGAGTGATGGTCAATGTGGCACAAATGATCTACGTGTGAGGGTCAATGGCACAAATGATCTACGAGTGATGGCCAATGGAACAATTGATCTACGAATGATGGCCAATGACACAAAAGATCTACGTGTGATGACCAATGGCACAAATGATCTACGAGTGATTTTCAATGGCACATATGATCTACGTGTGATGGCCAATGGCACAAATGATCTACGTGTGATGGTCAATGGCACAAATGATCTACGAGTGATGGTCAATGTGGCACAAATGATCTACGTGTGAGGGTCAATGGCACAAATGATCTACGTGTGATGGCCAATGGAACAATTGATCTACGAATGATGGCCAATGACACAAAAGATCTACGTGTGATGACCAATGACACAAAATATCTACGTCCGATGGTCAATTGCACAAAATATCTACCTGGCACAAATGATCTATGTGTGGTAATCATTGTTGCAAATGATCTACTTGTGATTGCCAATGGCACAATTGAGATATGTCAGATGGCCATTTGCTCAAATGATCTTCGTGCCAAAAATCATTGTTCGCAAATGATCTACGTGTGATGGTCAATGGCACAAAAGATCTACTTGTTATCGCCAATGACACAAATGGTCTACTTGTGATCGCCAATGACACACGTTATCTACGTGTGAATGTCAATGGCACAAAAGATCTACGTGTGATGGTCAATGGCACAAATGATCCACTTGTGATCGTCAATGACACAAATGGTCTACTTGTGATCGTCAATGGCACAAATGATCTACGAGTGATGGCCAATGGAACAATTGATCTACGAATGATGGCCAATGAACACAAAAGATCTACGTGTGATGACCAATGGCACAAATGATCTACGTGTGATGGTCAATGGCACAAATGATCTACGAGTGAGGGTCAATGGCACAAATGATCTACGTGTGATGGTCAATGGCACAAATGATCTACGAGTGATGGTCAATGACACAAAAGATCTACGTGTGATGACCAATGGCACAAATGATCTACGTGTGATGGTCAATGGCAACAAATGATCTACGTGTGATGGTCAATGGCACAAATGATCTACGTGTGATGGTCAATGGCACAAATGATCTACGTGTGATGGTCAATGGCACAAATGATCTACGTGTGATGGTCAATGGCACAAATGATCTACGTGTGATGGTCAATAGCACAAATGAGATACGAGTGATGGTCAATGACACAAAAGATCTACGGTGTGATGACCAATGGCACAAATGATCTACGTGTGATGGTCAATGGCACAAATGATCTACGTGTGAGGGTCAATGGCACAAATGATCTACGAGTGATGGTCAATGACACAAAAGATCTACGTGTGATGACCAATGGCACAAAATGATCTACGTGTGAGGGTCAATGGCACAAATGATCTACGTGTGATGGTCAATGGCACAAATGATCTACGAGTGATGGTCAATGACACAAATGATCTACGAATGATGACCAATGGCACAAATGATCTACGTGTGATGGTCAATGGCACAAATGATCTACGAGTGATGGTCAATGGCACAAATGATCTACGTGTGAGGGTCAATGGCACAAATGATCTACAAGTGATGGCCAATGGAACAATTGATCTACGAATGATGGCCAATGGCACAAAAGATCTACGTGTGATGACCAATGGCACAAATGATCTACGTGTGATGGTCAATGGCAACAAATGATCTACGTGTGATGGTCAATGGCACAAATGATCTACGAGTGATGGCCAATGGAACAATTGATCTACGAATGATGGCCAATGACACAAAAGATCTACGTGTGATGACCAATGGCACAAATGATCTACGAGTGATGGTCAATGGCACAAATGATCTACGAGTGATTTTCAATGGCACATATGATCTACGTGTGATGGCCAATGGCACAAATGATCTACGTGTGATGGTCAATGGCACAAATGATCTACGAGTGATGGTCAATGTGGCACAAATGATCTACGTGTGAGGGTCAATGGCACAAATGATCTACGAGTGATGGCCAATGGAACAATTGATCTACGAATGATGGCCAATGACACAAAAGATCTACGTGTGATGACCAATGACACAAAATATCTACGTCCGATGGTCAATTGCACAAAATATCTACCTGGCACAAATGATCTATGTGTGGTAATCATTGTTGCAAATGATCTACTTGTGATTGCCAATGGCACAATTGAGATATGTCAGATGGCCATTTGCTCAAATGATCTTCGTGCCAAAATCATTGTCGCAAATGATCTACGTGTGATGGTCAATGGCACAAAAGATCTACTTGTGATCGCCAATGACACAAATGGTCTATTTGTGATCGCCAATGACACACGTTATCTACGTGTGAATGTCAATGGCACAAAAGATCTACGTGTGATGGTCAATGGCACAAATGATCCACTTGTGATCGTCAATGACACAAATGGTCTACTTGTGATAGCCAATGACACACGTTATCTACGTGTGATGATCAATGGCACAAAATATCTACGTGCGATGGACATTTGCACAAATGATCCACGTGCGATAATCATTGCCGCAAATGATCAACTTGTGATGACCCATGGCACACATGAGATACGTGAGATGGCAAATGACACAAATGATCTACGTGTGACGGACAATGGCACAAATGATCTACTTGCGATACGTTTTGTCACAGATTTTCTACGTATGCTTGCCAATGGCACAAAAGATCTACCTGAAGATGACCATTGGCACAAGTGATCTACATGCGTTAATCATTGTCAAAAATTAAACACGTGTGATGGCCAATGGCACCAATAATCTACGTGTGATGGCCACTTGCACAAATGATCCATGTGCGATAACCATTGTCGCAAATGATCAACTTGTGATGGCCCATGGCACAAATGAAATACGTGAGATTGCTATTGGCACAAATGATCTACGTGTGATGGCTATTTGCAATAATGATTCTCGTCTGATAACCATTGTCGCAAATGGCGCTCGTAATCACCAATGACACACATGACACTTGACATCACGTGTGTATTAAGGTATACCAGGATCTGCACTCACCAACATTTGTTGTTCATTGAATCTCTCTAACCCTAGTGGGTAATCATAACGGCCGTTTTACCTGCTGAATTTCCATTTTGAAATGTCAATGTTACATATTGGATTGACTTGATAAAAGCTCTCTTTGGACATCGATTATTGTTTTGATCTTAAATGAGTGCACTGGCTGGAGTGTTATGCACTGGAGTGTTAAAAAGAAAAACAATCCTGTAAACTTTATTGAAACTTTGAAGACATTTTGAAATTTCAATCTGCGTAAGAAAAAGAAACGTATATTTAAAGTGCTCGCGCTTGATTGAAACAAACAAGGCTTTTGATATCAATTTTCTTATATGAGAACTCCACTTTAATCTGAAACAAATAAAAATGAAGGTTTGAAATGCTAATAAATGATATGCTTTAATCTGTTTTTGACATTAAGTACCAAAATTTGTGTATTAGATTTTTAGATAAAAGAGTGGTGACGTAAAAGACCTGTTTTAAATGGTTTTAAGTCTCTTTTGAGAAGACAGCTGTCAAAAGGTCATTCAAAATGCCTAAATTGTGATTCAATTTTTCTAAAAAAGGTTTTCGTCCACGAGAATAATAAGAACTTAAACGTTGGAACCAATAAACGCCTTAGTTGCACCTCTAGCAAGAGGGGGACCAGACAATTTATGATTTCCCGCCATTTTTCTTCAAATGCCAGTACAGTTAAATCGTCGCTTTTTTTCGTGCTAAAATGAAAAAGCTAGTGTATTGGTCCAGTAGAGCAATGACTAATAGAAAGAAAATATTCGGCTTATTTCCACAGCTGTCCAAAGCAACCCTCCGGTAGAGGCGTGGCCTGTGTTACACATGGCTGGTCAATAAACAATGATACCATTTCATTATTGGGCGTATAGTAAAGGTATAAATTGTAATTGCGATGAAAGTGTTGCCTTAGTTACGTGAAAAATGGTTTTCATTTACTTACATTTATTTATGACAGGCATTCAAAACTACAAGACATTATAAGAAATTGGCCAAGCTGTAACCACAAATAAAATTGATATGTCAAAGCCACTGTTATTGTTCATTCTCTTTCTAAAAGCGCTACATGTAAAATACTGGATTTTCACAACATTATTTCAGTCGATTTATCGCCACGCATGGAATAAATTAATAATAATAATAATAATAATAATAATAATAATGATAATAATAATAATGATAATGATAATAATAATAATGATAATAGAAATAATAATAATAATGATAATGATAATAATAATAATAATGATAATGATAATGATAATAATAATAATGATAATAATAATAATAATAATAATAACATGGCAACCAACTGAAATTAAATCTGGTACAAATTGAAATGGAGGATTGAAAGCGACGTATTAAAGCAAATTATTGCCAAGAGGAATAGTTAAAATGTTACTCATCTTTTTGTAATTATAACATTGTTGTTAAACATTTTTTTTTTAAATAAATTGAAAATTTACGGTTACAGCAAAACAAGCGTAACTGAAAGATATCGGTCGATTGTAATAAGCGATGAACCCGCATTTTAACACAAAAAGAATAACTATATGAAATTTTATTTGGATTTACAAATGTTTACAATTGTGAAATTCTACTGAATTGACAAATAATTTTGTATCAGACATATATACTCAGTTAAATTTGATATGTTTTATTTGTTTATTTATTTATTTATTTATTTATTGAAATATACGTTTAATGTAATCCTAACACTGACATAGAAACCTGGTATTTAGTGTTCACATTCCTTAACTGCAGAAATGTCATTTGTTATATACAAAAATGCAAATTAAGCAATTTACTTATTTAAAAAAAAAATCAGAAAAAGTAGACAAGGGCGTTAAATAATAGGATAATAATTGATGGATTTCTGATTAATATATCAATATTATTGATTCATTGGTTTTAAAATTGTCAGTCGGCAATCACTCACGTCATACGTCTGACAGTCAGTGAATGCAATCAAGGCGTTATCGGAATAATGGATAAGCTAGGATAAGGGGAATAATTCCTCCAAAATCACTCCCACGTATTAAATATTACAGAAACAGTATCCAATATCGCATTCTCCTTTGTCACATTTTTTCTGGCACCATTCATTCCAATAATCCCCGCCCACTATTTCGTTAGACGTGCACCTGCCTAATGGCGTCGTGTCACTTGTTGTTGTTGTTGGCGGAAATGACGTACTCGCGGGTAAAGCAGTGACTTCCGTACATTGACACGTATCTAGTGGACAGTTACCCTTATTGCATTCCTCCGTACACCTAGAACAAGAAAAATATGTGATTAATTCTTCTGAAAGTACACACAATATTATAATTAAGATGAACCGAACCAGATGCGCAATTTTATACCTCTATTTGTTTCAAATGGTAGCGTATTCGGACCATTTTACCTCGCCCAGATATAGCCACCATATAATAAATGTTACTACCGAAATTCGGATAAGTAATAAAAAGAGCATCGAAACTCGAGGCTATCTGATTTGTACAAAATCAGATTGCTTCGAGTGTTTTGGTGTTCTTTCTCTTTTGTATTATAGTAAAACATAAAAACACGTTCCCTGTTGTCACAAAATGAAACCCCAGAACAAAGTAACCAATGAACGAGCATCTGAATATGATATTTCTATCGCTGCCCTCATAATAAGTAAACCCCAATATGTGTTTTATACCATAATGTTGTTTAATGAAATCAAGAGTTTAATTTAATTATGTAATTTTTTATCCCATTTAATCCGTTAAATAGAACATTTCATAGCCTTGGCGACAAATAAAAGTTTTATAGAGATTTTTTCGTTTGTGTCAAATGAATATTATATAAACACTTATTTGAATGGCTAGGATTGTGACGAGCACTTTAAAGTCCGTGGCCGAGTGGTTAAGGTTTCCTGACTCCCGATCACTTACTCCATAACGGTGTGTTCGAATCCTCGCAAAGAACCTTTGAATTCCATCATCAAGTTGCAGGTGGCTGAATCTACGCAGGTGCCTGCTCCCTCATTAAATAATACATGAAGCGGCACGTGAGGTCTTCTCCATTCCACCAATAAAGCTGGAAAGTCGCCAAATGACCTTTACTAAATCGGTGCAACTTAAAACCCCCCAAAACACTTTAGATTCAAAGTGGCTGTTTGAAAATTTGTTTGATGCCTTATCATTTACATGTGCTTCAATATAAAAACTTTCATGTATTTCAATATACAAATATATCGCAATCTTGGCTCAGTTGTAATTTTATAAAATATGAAAGGGATTGGTTGAGATGAGGGGAGGAGCTAAAGGGCGGAGTTTGAAAATCTGACACTATACGCATATCAATCTTAAAAAAAAATCTTAAAGGTATTTTGACACATCTAATGGAAGGTCTTATCTCAATCACATACAAAATTTACCCGTTCAAATCGGAAACATAATGAAGTAAATCACCACAATGGGTTTTCCTAAAACTGAAATTGGGTTCACTTGTAGTATATATTTCTTACTAAATCTTCATCGAAAAGCAGTAATTAAGCATTGAAAAAAAACATTGATGAAAAGTAATGTTATACTTGGATCAACCGTTGTTTATTTCAGTCGAAATAAAAAAAATGTTAAAATGGCTCCAAGAAGGAAATTATGGGCTGTGTACGGGCGTGTAATTTGTGCCGATTTTAAAGGTGAACAAGTACAATTCAAAATACTTCAAAATGATAAATTCACATTTTGTTGAGATATTCTTATTTAGAAAACTGTCATTTTGCTGTTCTGAGCATTTTAGTGACAGGTAAAAGGGCGGTAGTACAAAACAGGAAAAATTGCAAATTCTAGTTATAGTACAGCGACGAGACTGTAAATGTAATTGTAATGATACCATGGCTTATGGCTGCATCTCGGGTTTTCTCTACAAAAAAAAAAGGATGGAACAAAATAACGTTGTATTTTCGAATTTTAATATTACGTTACTATGCCAGAAACTATAGATGGCTTAAATCGGACACCATATGTAGCAGAACCTTTGAGCTTGTTCTATAAAATATGTAAATACTTACCAATTATCAAACACCTTAATTCCTTTCCAAATGCTAAGAGCCAGACAAACTTTTGTTCCAAGTTTGGGCAATGTTGTAGGTGCTGTAACTGTGGTGGTGGACTGGGTCACAACTTTGTTTACAAAGGTACATTTACATGACATAGAAGGACAGTTTCCCTTTGAGCAAGTATCAGCGCACAGTCTGTAAATACATGTGATATAACATATATACTGTATACATTACCAACCAAAGGTCAAGGTCTCAATAAAGTCAACATCTAAATATTCTTCAGGAGTTTTCCATATATTAATTGGTGAAAGTCAATAACAAATCAAAAATCAAAGTCGAAAATTGTTCCAAAATATTATTTTCTACAATTTTTATTCAAACATGAAACTATAAATATCGTGTAATTAAAGAAAAATACGGTTAGCAGAACGTCTTAGATATGATCATAAATATTATTTACATACATGTATCAAATATACATGTATATTAAGCTAGCTTTTTAGTTAAAAATATCTTAATGAAAGCTATGGTCAATTGTACACAAAATGATTTGACAATCGGTTACATACAACGGGAAAAAACGAACTGCAGTACAACCAAAATGCTGACTTGTACTTCAAGATTGTTAAATAACAATTTAAGGTTACAAATGAAAACCTAATAAAATAATAAAAATAAAAATAATTACTATTTATTATAAAGTATTATATACATTGCCGAATTAAAAGTATGCATTCAACTATAACGTAATCTACGCCTATCCGGTTCACAATAGACTGATCAAGCATTTTTTCTGTCAGGTTGTATTTGTGCATTTGATATAAGGATTAAATATAGTAAAAAGTTATATATGTATAGAAATAATAATAACGGTACCTGTCAAGGTATGAGTTTCCTTCCCAAAGGTTTATAGCTTTACACTCAAGCTGCTTTCCCATACCCCCTGGTGGCAGTTGTGGCTGCAAATATTGGTGTAATCATTTATCATTATTTAGAAAATGGTTTCCAAGAAATGAGTTGGCAATTTCTGCGAAAAAACTTTGAATCTTGGAATGATGGGTACCAGTTATTTGCTTAAAGCTGCACGCCTGCGTGCCAGATGAGCAAAACATATTTCAAGAAAATCAAACTTCAAAAAAATATAATGTACTCAGAATTTAAAAAAAAGAGTAAAGATTTAAGTAAAAAAGCACATGTTATATGCCATTAATGACTGATAAACAATAAGGAAACCCCTCGAAATCCACTCTCTTTATGTAAATTAGTAAAGGTGCGGTCTCACTTACTCCCAGCAGAGCCCAGGACCATCCCGGTAAGTTACCGGGATGATCCGGGACGATCCGGGGTAAAGTTATTGTTGCGGTCACACTTACCCCGGCAGCACTACGGTAGTTCCAAACTAACCAACCAGGATGCGCTCCGGATCATCCAGGCAGAGCCCAGGTGAAGCTACGGTTCATGCCGGTGCTTCCCCGGTCGTTCCCGGATGACGCCGAAAGAGCCCCAGTTGACCCAGGCAGAGCCCCGAGCCCAGGACGATCCAGGCAGAGCCCGGTAGAACCCCGGTGGATTGAAAACGCCCGATAATGATAACATTGATACATAATTTTTATTTAATATAATAATTATTGTTCCAGAATAGTAATTCATGATGATCCTTATGCCATACTGGATAGAAGGGAAATGGGAAGGGTTTTAATACAAACAAGTGCGATCATCATTATTCTTTTGAAATGATCCGGGCTTTGCCGGGACTCTACCGGGATCAACCGTAGCTCTACCTTTATCCTCCGGGGCTTTTCCTGTAGTTACCGGGGCTCTGCCGGCATATACCGGGGCTCTAACATAGCTCTACCGGCTATATCATACCCCGGATCATCCCCGGTTTGTGTCGGCAGAGCTACGGTGCTTCCGCGGTATAACCTCGGTCGTTCCCGGCAGAGCTACGGATGAAGCCAGCAAAGCTATACCTTCCCGGATCATCCCGGACCACCCCGGTGATATTAAATATTTTATTCCATCCGGGGTCGAATGCCGGATGTTTCCGGATCATCCCAGATCATCCCGGACGTTGCCGGCAGAGATACGGATGTACTCCGGTTGTTCCCGACGGACCCCGGTCGTTCCCGGATCACCCCGGACGTCTACCGGGGCTCTGCCGGGATGAAAGTGAGACTGTAGCTTAAAACGGACGATTCGTTTTCCGATCTTCTTTAGTCACTGGCGCGCTATATAAATAACTCTGTGATACGATGCACATTTCCAAGATACAATGACTGAAATACTTATTTTGAAACAACACATAATTGTTTTCACAACAAAGAAATAAAATCTGATTGACAATTTTAATGACCATAAGTGATATGTATATAGAATCAAAGTATTATTTACCGTTGATAATGTCGTACTGGGCAGTGTCGTTGTTGTTGTTGGCCTTGTGGTTGTTGAAGTCGATGTTTGAGTCGTCGTTGTCGTTGTTGTTGGTGGTGGTGGTGGTGCAGATGTTGTTGTTGTCGTTCTTGTTGTTGTTGTTGTTGTTGTTGATGGTTGTTGTGTAGTTGATGCCTTTGTCACGAGTTGTGTCCCATTGCTACAATCACATCCATATACCGGGCAGTTGCCGATGGCACAATTATCTGTACACCATTTGTCCATCTCCGGGTCATTTGTCCAGTTATGTATCCCTCGGCATGGAACTTTCACTCCAGTAAATACCTGAAAGCGACAAAAGTCAAGAGCGATACAATTACTGGTTAAACATTGTCTTTCTATTCTATTAAATGCCCATTATGCCTCAGAAATTATTTTTCTCTGTAGTGCTCAAACGCTATTTATTTTTTGGTCTACTTTTATAGGAAACAAGAGTTGTGCATGCCCTTTTCTATTAATTAAACATTACAAAATATATGTTTGCACTCTCTAAAATGGTAAATATTTATTCGTTATTGAAGCATATTGTGCCTTTATTATTTCAGACTATACAAATTCTCTAAAAGTAGACATTGTGTTAGGTGCAATTTCCCCAAACTCTTCTTTTTGTTTAAAATTTAATCAAAATGGTCCTTTTCTTCAACACAAGCAGCAGACAAATTAGCATATACGTTTCGTTGCTATACATTGAGAGTTATAAGAAGTAAATGCTGGGAAGGATGGATAGAAGGAGACGAAATAATTGAGATAACAAGATAAGTGAGATAATTGTGGTTAGTAAGGTAGTTGAAATTATTAAGATAACAAGATAAGTGAGATAATTGTGATAAGAAAGATAATCATGTGAAATAATTGAGATAACAAGATAAGTGAGATAATTGTGATAAGTAAGATATGTGAAATAATTGAAATAACAAGATAAGTGAGATAATTGTGATTAGTAAGATAGTTGAAATAATTGAGATAACAAGATTAGTGAGTTAATTGTGATAAATAAGATATGTGAAATAATTGAGATAACAAGATAAGTGAGATAATTTTGATAAGAAAGATAATCATGTGAAATAATTGAGATAACAAAATAAGTGTGATAATTGTGATAAGTAAGATATTTGATAACAATTGAGATTACAAGATAAGTGAGATAATTGTGATTAGTAAGATAGTTGTCATAATTGAGATAAGTGAGATAATTGTGATAAGAAAGATAATCATGTGAAATAATTGAGATAACAAGATAAGTGAGATAATTGTGATAAGAAAGATAATTATGTGAAATAATTGAGATAACAAGATAAATGAGCCGAATGAGGTAAAGAATTACTGGTTCTCAAAACAAATTATAGTGTGAAACAAATACTTGAGCAGTCGAATCAGGTGATTTAGTAGTTAGAGCTCGGGGAGACTTTGGTGTTATATTATTCCCGGTCTCCTGTATAGAAACATCAGCACAACCGTAGAATTGTTCCTGCAATCCACATCCTATACAAGCCTTTCCGGTCACTTCATCTACACCCCACGTGTCACCTAGGATACATATGGATAATAAAGATGATCGATGATATTTGTATAAACTTAAGAGTACAAAAAATAGACAATACCGGAGAATCAGTACTAGGGTGAACAAAGATGTTTTTCGCAATTTATGAGTTAAAACAGTGGGATTATTACAACAAGGTTTGTTTTGAGTTGGAAATCTGTACACTTTAAAAATATATTACATAAACAGAAAAAGTTTTCGGGACAAATAATTTACTTCTTTTTTATGGGTTGTAGGGGGAGGGGGAATAAAGAAGTCATACTCATTATATATACGTATCGAGTGAACGTGGGTTCCAACAATTAGCAAGTCATATGTTCACAAAGAAAAAAACCCATCAGGACCAGTATTAATAAATTTTGATGTTCTTTGCAGTTTTATCAAACCAAAACATCTTGGTAAATATTGTAAATGATACAAGCTGTCACAGTTTTAAATATTAAATAAAAAAAGTTGAAAGTATAAAAATAAAAAAAAAGATAATAAAAAAAAAATGAAATATTTGGATCAGAATACGGATCAATTTTATGCTAGCGATCTTAACTTGGATTAACTTTTAAAGCATGTATTATAAAATTATTGATTTTAAGTATTTGAATCAGTTAGGATTACAAATATAACCTTTAAAGGCATAAAATACGGAGATCTTTTAGGAGATAAAACTTTAATACTGATGTTATTTTAATAATGAAAATACGTATTATCATTTATTTGCGCACGCAGCTAAACATTAACAGAGAAGAAAGCACGCATTTATAAGCACGCGCTATTGTTGCACGTTTTAGATATGCGTTAGTCAAAAACCGGACTGCATCAACGGCCCTGGTAACTGACATTGGTAAACTTTTAAACAGACGCGGGCTTTGAATGCGTCCTAGTGTTTCTACAGATATTTATGCACGAGAAAAAGGTGCATTAGCCCTTTATCACCTGAGTATGGTAAGACGTATGATAATTCTATTTCAGTTATACCTGTGTTATATTTCCACTGTAAAACACACTGTGTACATTTCATGTCGGTTGGTAATTTATACGTCATATTCCATACGCCGTACCGCTTTACCGTGATATATGTCCTGAAAAAGAAGGTCAATGGTCATTACGTACTCGTTTATTGTTGGACACATCTTTGCTAGATCGATTTTGTTTTAAATTATTCAGATCAATTTGATCATATGAAAACTTAAGGTTTATTAGGACAATGATGTCATATATTGAGACGCGGTCAATATGTTCAAACCCGAAATTGGTTTGTATGACAATTTACTTAACCGTTAGAAAATGAGATAATTATGAAATGTAGATAGATAATTTCTTTCTTTTTTTCTTCTGAATTTTTTTTTTAAAAAAATATAAAAAAAACACAAAATAACAAACAACCAAACAAAACAAAAAACGATGCAGAAACGATAAAAAGCAAACAAAAGATAAGAATACTTAGTGCCGTTGCCGTCAGCTCGCTGTAGCACGTGCGCGTTCAGACAATCATGGGTGACGGCTTTCGTGGCGTCATTGTTCGGGCAGATTCTAAATTCCATCCATCCGTACCGATTACTGGTAATGTCAACTTGTAAATTGATGGTTTGTCCAATCTTAAACGTGGAAATACCAAACGAAATAATTAGATAGCAATAGAAATTATGCAAAAAGTAATGTCATGTGTATGCTTGTACATACCGGTATGTTCTAAAAATAACCTTAATCACTTCAGTATTGTTATATTTTTCTGGTCCTTCGGGATCATTGATGCCAGCACTGTTGAGAATTGAGTACCGCTCAAGCTGGTGCTAGGGGGCGTGAGGGATGTTGCACATATTCATTATCCCTCATGTACAGACTCAATCAAACCGAGTCTGCAATTCTCTTGTAATTTTGTTGTGTTTAATGCTTCCGAGGGATCACTTCGTTTCCAGATTTTTGGTAACGACCTGGTTGTGCGGTACCCTCTGGAAATGGGGATATATTCTTTTAATGAAATTGCTTCATCGATCCATTTTCTTCTACTTCAACTGCTACCGTTGTGTCATTTAGCATTAATATTTTGTACAAGATATGCTGGCAGATCTATAAGATTCTCAGCACAAGGACTCAGCACAAGGATCGATACAAAAACGGAATTCATTATTTCATAGACAGTTCTAAAAACGGACGTGTACTATCTTTTTTTCTTCGACTGCAGTGTCAATGATATTGGATAGATATCAATTATTACTCCTTACCACGACTAAATATCTTAAATGAACTTGTCCACCTTTCAGTCTGGACAAAACCATTTACCCTTTTAAAGGAAAATACCAAACAAGTACTGACTGAATGGCGGACAGTACTGTAAACGGTGGACCGGTTGAACTTGGTCTACACTGGGCGTTTTTGTAGAATCAGTTTTAGGGTTAAAACAAAATACATGTAAATGAGAGGATTGGTTTGTAAATATAAACAACAAATTAGCCCAATGAGATGTTTAAAGATATATATGTATTAAGTTGATATTTCGGGAACCAAAAAGCTTACAGAATATTTCCTAACAATAGTTCCTGTTGCGTATTTCCCACCAGCCTCGTTTTCGCGCTTGCCATTCCAGGGATCCCCACAGACGCCACATTTCCCGCCATTTGATAATTGTGTCTAAAGTAAAATATAAATAATTTTTAAAAAAAAGATAAAAAGTGAATATAACAGATAAATTCTGAACGCATATTTTAATATTTAATGAGAATGTGTATATTGTGTAGCAAATTTTGACGTTTGACCACACTCGGAACACCCCGGACAACTTCACAAAGTCATTTCACACGAAGTTGTCGGAGAAAGTCGATTTGTTAATACGTTTTGGTCGACCATTTATAACACACGGAAACTGTCGAAAATTACCGATTATATACGAACGAATGGTAGGTGAATAAATAGCTTATTAATACGTATGTATTAGCATGTTATCCGTCTGTTTTGGTTACCGTGGAGATTAGCCCGGCTGTTACCCGTTATCTTCCTTTCTGTCTCACAGTGACATGTTTGCCCGCTATTTGTAAACACGGTCGTTATTGAATGTCAATTTTGGTAACTTGCGGCATCATACACCGATCTGCTGTAATCCATACGGGGAATCTTTCGGATTAATAAGATCTGGTTTAATGAAATTGTTATGTCAGTTATGCAGGTCATGTCTTTAATTCACTGATCTTTGAAAAGCCATACCTCCACCTTTTTAAAGTTTATCGATAGAAAACCTAAAGAATGCATAACAAAGATTTTGGACCCCAAGGTCTCCCCGTTCATGCATTATCTATATAAGGCACAAGCCGAAGTTCTGAAACCCAGCAGAAAGAATCTGTCCTTGGTTGGATTCGAACTCACAGCTGTTATGGTCAGGTAATTTGAAGTCAAAGACTATAGCTACGAACGCCCTATACAATTGCAATTTTACGCGTTTCGCTAGTGTTCTTTGCGTGTCGCTATAACGTGTACTGGTCATTCTACCAAACGTTATACATCAGAGGGACCCAGTTGCTCAAAACATTGAATAGAATTAACCAGTGGACCGGTTCCTGATTCTGGAAACAAAATGGCCGATTAATTGATGAAGAATCAGGAAGTTCCGAAAGAATTTATTTTGGGATTATATTTATTATTATATAAAAGGCAAACGTATGTTGGCTGATTTGCGCGTTGCGTTGTCGATAGCGACAACACAACCAATATCGTTATTGCCTTTTCGTCTTGTCCCATATATATATATATAGCGTGCATAGTTAGCGACAGGACGACAAGACGAAAGTCCGACAACGCACAGTTTGACGCTTTGTCGTGTTGTCGCTAGCGACAACAAGACGCACAAAAGTGTTCCAAATCAGCCATCATACAAACGTTTGTCTGATAATATTGTCAAATGGATTTAGAATATGTGAGATCTTCTGAGTAACAAAATGTTAACAAAGTCGTATTTTGACTTCCATAGAAAATTCTGTATCACTGTTTAAGCAACTGTTTGCAAGATGCAAAAGAAGCAAAAAATAAGGGTTAATAAGTAACATTTTTGAAACTGTTACAGGAATAAATAAATAAATAAATAAATAAATAAATAAATAAATAAATAAATAAATAAATAAAATAAGATTAAAATTAAAAGATAAATGAATAAATACATGTATATGATTAAACAAATAATTAAATAAAAATTTGAAATAAATAACAAATCGATTTATCTTTTAATTAATTAATAATTCTAACACTATCGGAAATTTTCCTAAATAGACAAAGAAGGCCGGAAGCGTGCATTATTCTACAACAATGCACTCGCCGTTCTTATTATCTCCCTGTATATTTTCACATTGAGGGCGCCATTTTGTTTAAAAATCTGATAAATAAAAACAATTTTTTGTCGAATTTTGTTGTGAAAACTATCTAGAATGATAGAAAATGGTCTAACTAAGAAAATGAATCCGAACACCAATATCTTTAATTCAGTCGTTAACGCTGTACAGACGTTTAAAGTGTTGTTTACGTGACGTCACAATGTAGCACGTGCAAAACAATCAAATCAAGTACGTTATTTTAATATCGCAGACGAGTTAGGTTTAACATTTATTTCACTTTTAATAATTTGTATTTCGCTTGAAAAATTATAGAGTGAAATAAAATGAACAACCAAAGTTTTATCAACGTTTTCAAAATTCGTTATTCTCAAAATGTTTCTACACACAGTAGATTTAACGACAGTTTTTTTTTTCAATCCACTGGAACAGCCTTTAAAGAACGTTTCTATTGGAAACTCTGAGGCGAAAACAAATTTAACCACCAAACATAAAGTCCAACTTTATAATAATAATTATACTTTTTCTTGACGTGTTAGAATGGAAATAGATATTAATTCTTCGTGCATTATTGTATAATAATGCACGTTTTTCGTTCAAATGCGTTGTAATTAATCACTCAGGCCTATCGGCCTTCGTGATTATATTACTACGCATTTGAACTCAAGCCGTGCATTATTCTACAACAATGCACTCAGAATTGATATCTATTTCCTAAATAAAAAATAAAAGAAACAAAATAAAAATAAAATATAAAAAAAAATAGTAAAAATAGATATTCATTAACTTTAACTTTACAAAAGTTATCGATCCTTCGATCGGTATTGCAAGACATCCTTTGTTCTCAATAAATGGAAACTACCCAGATCAAGAATAATACCAAACTTTTTCTACTTAAATGTGACAAAATGGTTTAGATCTATTGCTATGAGTTCAAATGTTCATAAATCTTAAAACTGTTATACCAGGAACGCGGCAGTGGTTACTTCCCTTGATAAGTATACAAAAACGAAGCGTGCGTAGAGTTTGGGAGCACACGAATAAGTGCCTGCCATGTTTCACATATTTCCGGTACTTGAATAAAGTATACAACGGCTTTTCAGATGACACTTTATTTGTGAGCTAGAGTAATGCAATTTAATCAATGCAGGTAAAAGAATCGGTGGTTGCATAGTACAAAGAATCCATGCAAATATCCAATATAACATGTCGCCTATTGGTGACTTAATATAAACATTTGTTAATTAAAGATGATACTTTTGTGTCCAACTGGTAAATCAACAATTCTGTCCTTTTAGCATTTACATACTTACCAGAAATCCACCACAAGACAAATTGTCATCGATGTTATTACGTGGAGTCTGAAATCCATCACGCCAAGCGCTTGACCGACCTGGAGGATCTATAAGTCTTCCGCCATTTCCAGAAGCTTGGTTAATAATCGCGCAAAATGCTAATATTCTGAGCAACATTCTCTTATATGTTTTATAGACCGAAAAGAAAACCCACAACAAACAAGCCTTTCAATTTTAAGAGATGTTAGTACGATTGTTTTTTAATGTAATTGAAACTTTTCGAAATTGTCTTGATTCGAAAATGATTCGAAATATTTTTAATCAAAAGAGAAGCTAATTTTAATCCAACTCTGGCGACAGCACTGTATTTCACTTAAATATGATACTTTGGGTCAATTTCATATCGTAGCCTACCCTAATACAATTAACGAAGAGACAGGGGGATGTTCCATCGGAAATTAAACAGGATTAGATAAGCCAAGTTTGTTTATAAATTACACACGTGGTGACCTTTCCGCCATTTTGGAATTTTTGGACAGTTTTTGTGCGTTTTTCAACAAGTAAGGTCAGAAAATAAAATATTAAATAATGATAAATCAGATAGCTTTCGGGCGATAGAAAAATGCGAATGTCCACGTTTTGTTCCCGTCATTCAGCGTCAGTTTGACCGGTATAGTAGATAGGCTGAATAGTACTATAGTCTGTCCCATCAAATTTGAACATTCCATTTTTTATTTAATATAATAGTAAAATCATTTAAATTAATGTCATCTTAACCCTGACGTCAATATCTCTAGGCATGTTTTTCATTTTTTTCATAAAGTCAGTAATATGGTCGAAATGTTAAAATTTATATTTTTCCCCGTTGACTTACGTTGTAACCTGACGTGACGTCCATTTCAAAATGGCGGCGCCCATATAGACGTCATTTAGGGTTCGTCTCACAATTACGGTGAAATGTAGCTCGTTTAATTATACAAATTTGATTTATATTTATTTACTTACTGATCAATAGCTAAATGTTATCATTAAAATGAAAAATGAGAACAAAGTTTGGTGTCAAAAAGGCAATTTTACTAGCAAACTATTATTAAAATAATCAAAATCATTTAAAGCTAAAATATCGCTAACCGCTTTATAAATTCTTACACACAAAGATTAAATTAATAACCATGATAAACTGTCGTAATTTTTAAGATAAAAAAGAACAATGAAGTGATTTGATTAGATAGCTTTCCAATAAAAAGCGTATCTTACCGCAGTTTGTCGTAGGGAGCGGGAACACTACTAGAATATAATAAACAATATCAACAAGGAAAGGCGGCGTTCAATGAACGTAACCCCGCATGACACAGCTAAAAGACTATAAAAAATGGTTCTTTGCTAATTAATGTTTTAATTTACACAATTCTTTAGTTGTCTGAAAATTCTGTCCCATTAGTATCGTATCACTTCTATTCAAGAAATAATTAAATTGACCAGGTTCGATGGGATACAAGAATATGTTACCTTCTTATTTCGGGTGGCGATGTCCGTGCGGCTAAAACTTTTCCGTATGTTTCAACTTTCACAAAAAATCGCCAACAAATACTACTTATCATGCAAATCTGACAAGAAATATATAGAAAGGAAAACTGATTCACTATACGTTCAGAATTGTTTTGCTTGTTACACAGTTTCTTCTTTAACTAACTCCCTGGCTAATGAGAGAACACAGACTCGCGTTCGAAGGAAAATGTTAAATTATAAGAATATATATAATATCATGCTTTCTAGTTTGAGCAATCAAACGTAGGCCTATACACTTTAAGTTTGTAAATACAAATTTAACTTCCCGTCTCACAATTCCACAAAATGTCAGTGATTTCACTGGATTTGATATTATTAAGAATAAGTTTGAATAAATTGAATTGGAGTGTTCAATAAGCGACAATAAGTGTGTTTTTTAAGACCAAAGTGTTACATATAATTATTATGTTAATATGAAGGGAGATCGAGTCAAAAGAGAAACACCGAGTGACTTTCTCAATAATTTTAGCCTTCCTAAAATTTAAAAATATTCAGTGAAAAATACTATAGATCTAGCATATTTTTTCGCGGGAGAAAAATACGGCATATTGAATATTTTGTAGCTAAAATAGTAGGATTTTTACAGAAGTCATGAAAACGAGATATATGTAGGGAAATTATTTCTGAGAAATATGTAAAATAGTTTAAAAACATAAAATCAAAACGAATGTAGTATGTAATTAATGGAAGAAGTAATTATTCTGTTGTAGATTCATGTCATTAAGTGTGTTTAAAATTATCTAGATGATCTAAATGTTATCAAAAAGTTTTATTATTCATATATGAATTGAAGGTGTATTTTTTTACAGTTAAGTTGCAAAAATCTGGGTAGGCCTATACAAAAATTATTTTAATTCCATCAAGACAAATTCATCTCACGCTAAAATTATCTGTTTGAGGTTACATAATGCCTAGCCGCTCCTGTCAATGCCGCAACTGGAATCGCGAGGCATTTTTGTTACGTCATATATTTTCGTAAATTGTTGTTGACGTAATAAAGTTTCGTCTGGAATCCATTTTCAAGAGTTATAAGCATTGTGATGTTGACAACTAAAATTGATGGGCCGTTCTTGAATTATGGATTTGGAACATAATGGATTATGATGTGTTTCATTTACATATTTCATTTGCTAACCCAGATAACTCCACAAATTGAACAATGTTTTAATAATGAGACGGATTAACAGTTTAAAAAATCTGGATCATCATAAGTGCGTGTAGGAGTCATGTCATTTAGGAGTTTCGAAGTAGAAAAAATCGGATCTACGGAACTGGATAGATACTGGCAATGAAGGAATCTTCAGAAGGGACGTTTATAAATATCTATTCCGAAATTCATAGGAATTCTATTCAGCTTAAAAGTAAGTGTAATTTCTAGATATTTTATCCATTTGACTCGGTGTTCTTGTTGCTTATTTTTCATTTTTTTAAAGTTTTTCATCATGCATTGCAACTAAACTGTTACATCTTGTAGATCCAGCTTTGTAAAATAATCATGAAACGACCCCGAGAACCTCATGTATATTTTAGAAACATGACACGTGCTTTCTCCTGTTCATCTTCAAATGAAGAGTACTTCGGCAATGGCTACGGAAAATAAACAGCAGAGATTTTCCATAGAGAAATCAAAATTTGCTTTCACAAGAAAAGTAGACATTTTAGAGTAAAATCCTGAAAAATCTCGAGGGTGACTTTTTTTTAGTTTACAAAAATAGTTAAATTTTTATTCAACCTCGTTTTGTTAATTCACACCAGGCAAAAGTTCATTTCCATTTTTAATGGGACAGACTATAGTAACCGACAGTAAGTTAGAGAAAATACCAAAAAAACTTAAACATTTAAAGGCGCCATTCAAACCTTAAGGAGATAGTGACTAATGTAAAAGTTTGATGTTTGATTCTCACACATACACAAATAAAGATTTCACGCTAAAATGTTTCCCTTTTATATGTATGGAGTTTCTGATGCCATGAACAAACCTTTCATTTAACCCATACTTTATATTTTAAATGGATGTCAATTTTCCAATCTAGACAAAACCAACCATCATTTTGAGGAAAATTTCAAAATATATACTCACAGAATAACGAACAGTGTGGACCATGGAATTGTTCTGCACTGGTCACATGGGTAGACTGCGTTGCCGACAGAAGAATAGAAGGTAAAATGAGTGTTAAAATCGCTTTGTTTTGATCGTTGTGATTTCCTTTATTTAACATCGTACTTTTCCTCTTTTATCAGTGTACATCTTACTTTTCGCCTTTTTCCATCGTATTACTGTTGCGTATTCACAATCGTACATCCGTACTTTGATCATCGTACTTTTGCGTTTTCATCATCGTACTTTCGCCTTTTCATCATCGTACTTTTGCGGCTATTTAATATTACTAACACGTTTTCATCATCGTACTTTCGCGCTTTCACCATAGTACTTTTGTGGGGTTTTTTTTATAATTAACGCGTTAACAGCATCGTACTTTTGCGAGTACAACATTGTACTTTCGCGTTTTCATCATCGTACTTCTGTGGGTTTTTTTTTTTTGTACATTATTTCGCCTTTTTAATAATTGTGCTTTCCTTTATTTAACATCGTACTTTTCGTCTTTTATCATCGTACATCTTTTTTTTTTTCGCATTTTTTTTTTCATCGCCTTACTGTTGCGTATTCACCATCGTATATTCGTATTTTCATCATCGTACTTTCGCCTTTTCATCGTCGTACTTTTGCGGTTATTTAATATTACTAACGCGTTTTCTTCATCGTACTTTCGCGCTTTCACCATAGTACTTGTGTTTTTTTTAATTTACGCGTTAACAGCATCGTACTTTTGAGATGACAACATGGTACTTTCGCGTTATCATCATAGTACTTATGCGGGGGTTTTTGTACATTATTTCGCGTTTTCTCCATCGTACTGTCGCGTTTTCGCGTTTAGGAATTTAAAGACGAATATGCCGAAGAGTGATTTCACTGTGCATAAAATGAGCCGTGTCACGACAAAACCAACGTAATGCGTTTGCGATCAACATCCGCGCAGTATGATCAGGATCCATGCTGTTCGCTATCAGTTTTGCTACTTGTAATAGGGTTGGTAAGCGAACAGCATGGATTCAGATCAGACTGCGCTGATCGCAAATGCATTATGTTTGTTTTGTCGTGAGGCGGCTCAAATCATTTTTATGAGACATCGAATATGACGAATTGTCAGCGCTTTTTACAAAGTAGTAAACAAAATTGCTCTACTAATGTAAATATCGCACAATGCGACAAAGACGCGTGGCGAATTACGAATGGCACAAATCAGCCACCATACAAAATTAAAAATGACAACACTATGGCCAACCATTTTGTAGTGAAGTTGAAACCCATCGTCTTTGCAGAACGGGCGGCTGTAAGCAATTGATTAACTATAAAGATGCTTGTTATCTAAAGGAAATAGCACTAAATGTGATATACATTTTCACATAAGTAGCAGCAAAATGTAAACAAAGAAATATTGTGACTTCCATACAAAGTAATAAATCACTTTAATTGTACTTATTGCCTTAAAAGAAGAAAAAAAGATGGTTCAGGTAATTGGTCCATGAGTAGTTTTTTTTTGGAAACTATAAAAGTGCACCGAATATAATAAAAATGAAAGATTTTAAGAAATAAAAATAAAAGCGTTTCTGGGGCATTATGGGCCTTTAATTAAGATACAGGAATGATATACAATAAGAAAGAGAATATAGGTAAGCATGTCCATTAGGTCTTTCAATACATTGTGTAAGTGCAACATTAAATGATTGTTTTGCATGATGTTTGGTAGGAGGTAATGAGATGAAAAGTTAGGATGAAGTTGGACTTTTAAGTTTATAACGATTTGTATTGTATATCGCATGGGGGGATAGGATAGTTGTTCTTCCGACTTTCATAGTTACCTGACGGGAAGCAGGAATTTATGATATAAGCATGAACATGTATGGTTTATTAAGAGATAAAGTATGGTCCAACAGAAACGCCGGCTCCCGTACCTACTAAAATAAAATGGGAGGGGAAATTGAATAAATTGACAAACAATTTGATTTTTCTATACCGTGGTAAGATTACTCTCTATATTTATGGAGATAAGATGAGTTTATTTTCTGATAAATTGGCAGGACTGTCGAACGGTAATGAGTGTTTCCTGGGATACGGATAGAGGTTATTAGGATTTAACTGATGTAAACTGGTATTTGAAACGCACTTGGGTTTAAGCACCACATTTTTCTACTTGTGAAATAAACATTTACATATTTTGTTAAGTCGTACGTAGATATGGTTTGAAATATTTTAGCAAGTGAACTGTTTAGTTTTTGTTTGCATTTTAACATGCATGTTGAAAGCAAATACATTAAAAACATTAATCTGTTCCTTACTTCAAGTAGAGAGGTCCACAATGGGCACATTGGGCGTCTGATTTATAACTATATGAAATATCAGATCATGTATCTCACAAACAACTTTCATGTATACTTCTTTCGTGGTTTGTTGTTATGTCTGTGGTGGTGCCGTTATACACATATAAAACGCCGCTTAATGACGTCATTGCCGCTAAATGCGCAACCGCTGCTAAATGTCGCAAAATTTCTGTTGTTAAATGACGTAAAACTACCGTCACATGTCGCAAGATGTATATTCATGATAAGATGTAATAAGCTAGTGGTATTAAATTACAACAAGCATATAGTAAATGTTTGTATCTATTCAAATGTGATATGTTTGTGACATAAAGAAATGTCCCGATCCATCTGCAGACTCAAGATGAAAAATGCTTTAAAAGTGGATTGGTCAACAATAGGCAAATTTTCAAGAAATATTTCATATGTTGATAAAAACAATAGAAATGTATCATTTGGATATTCTTACAAAATATTTCTTTTAACTAGATCTATACTTGATTTAATAATACATTTGTGATCATGTATCGCACATTTACATATATTAATGGTTTGTTATCACACACGATATTGCATACCAATTCACTTTAAATGTCCTTTTTGTTTGCAATTAAAATGTAAAAACCATTGATTAATGCATACTATGCAACTACGCTGCATGTAAGGTGCGTCTTTAAATATATGTCCCTCAACGAAGTAGGTTCGCATTACATTAAAATATAAAGAATGAGCTCAACAGTGAGTGACATAACCGATAAGGCTTAGTAACATCCATAGGAAAATGAATGTAAAATGCGTGTCAATGTCAAAAGCATTTTTGGTGCACCTTTTGCAAAAACATCCTTTCTGTCATATACAATGATAGTTTAAAGCCTCGTCTGTGGATAAAGGTACGATACAAATAAAACAAAATAATAAGCGAGTGAGCTTGATGTTCTGTCAGAACGATAGTCACTTTCAGAGCATACATTTCTGCCTACATCGGTAGCATTTTATTTCGACCGGGCTAGTATGAACGCCTGTAATATTCTGAAGAAAAGACACTCTGCATTTGTGACCTTAATTAATGATTTTGCATCAATGAAATTTGTAGAACTGTAATATGAATATGGCAAAGTTATAATACCTAAAGGGTCAAACCTGTATTAACGATAAAACCGCAAACATGCTTGAATTTTAATTTAAAAATCTTTCTAGAATAAACTTCTCGGTGTATTAGATCCATCTCAAGCTGATACCGTAGCTTGAATCCACAACATATTGGCTGTTAAAAAAACAACAACAAAAGACAAACAAAAAAAACAAAAACAAAACACCAAGTGAATCTTTGCCATAAATTATGGTCGTCAACTTGTAATACCGCGAAAGATGATTTCATTTTTAACCAATCATTTTGTACATCACAACAAAGAAAGCTAATCCCAGATTATTTTCATAACGTTTATATAAACAAAGATGTTTAACACGAATTTATATACTGCGGCATTTAACGATGGTGTTGTCACACTTAACGGTAAGGGAAATTGATGCGACATTTAACGTCGTCATTGCGACATTTAATAAGAAACTATTTTGAGACATTTAGCGGCGGTTGCAACATTAACGACATGTAGTGGTGAGTGCGACAGTTTACGTCGCTGCAACTTTTAACGGCATCAAAATCTACTCAGTGTCTTTACGAAAAAGAAGTCACGAATTCAGATGAGGCCCTCGTGCAATAGGCCTCGAACATCCGGTATCATTTTTCAGTTTCATCTATTTTTATGAGATAAACAGTTGATTTCTTTTGATTGGAATATATTCCACATAACATCATCATCATCATCATCATCATCATCATCATCATCATCATCATCATCATCATCATCATCATCATCATCTTCTTCTTCTTCTTCTTCTTCTTCTTCTTCTTCTTCATCATCATCATCATCATCATCATCACCATCATCATCATCACCAGCATCATCATCAACATCATCATCATCATCATCATCATCAACAACAACAACAAAACCGCATACTTGGCTTTGACTTGTTTGTGATATAATTATTATATTCATCTTGTATGTCTACGATCACATGTTTTCTTACATAAATTAGATTTCGTAAAAGTTTAGTATGTTGGACAATTAACTGAACGGCAGGATAGAATGGTTTGAATGTTAATTCATTTCTTAAAGGCCCATCAAAGCCCTAAAAATGCGAAAAATTTTAATTTCTTAAAGGAACTCCACTAAAGTTCAAAAGCCTAAAAGCATAAAATTTGAATTTCTAACGTAGATCAGCTGAACCATTTAAAAAGGAAAGATGCACAATCAATTAAGGAATATACTTAGAAATTAATCAGAAATTTTAGATACATTTGTTTTGTAATTGCGAAATCATTAAACAGTTTTTGCAACAATTGCAATCATATATCAAGGAAAAAATGTGATATTAATTTCACTAAATGGAGTATTTTTGATATCTTATTTGGTAATATTAATATAGATAGCATTCCAAATAAGATTATACTGCTAGCAAAACAGTACATATTCTACAACAGATTGAAGACAATAAGGCATTCTTTGGAAATTTTCAAGAAACAAATAGTTTCTAGTCACACTACTGAAAAATATAGTGCCAAACAACTGTTTCAATATGAAAATTTTTCACTTTCCTGACAGAACTTCTATCAGTGACATTTACTGATATGAAGAAAAATGTCATAAATTTGGAAATAAATACTCCAAGTTTAGACCAAAAACCTTTTATTTTTAGTGGAGATTTATATAGGTAAATGAAAACGTTTTCCTCTGAATGAGATGAAATTGAACCTCAAACTTGTTTTTGCCTTTTTCCTATACTTGTTGCCTTAGATTCAGTAACTTAAATGTAACGATGTTGTATAGTTGTCACTTTTGTATTCTGTCTTAAAACGAGGTTGTCTTTGTTTTGTTTCTTTAGCATATATATATAATAAATTGAATATAGGAAAATGTTACTTCAGCAAAAAATCACAAAACCCCATTTAAGCTATTATTGATTATATTAGCATATCAATATTGTATCTATTTAATTAATATTTTAAATATACGATGATATATGCCATGAAATATCAATGTAAGATACAGTAGGGGCTCCGACCCCACTGTACCAATTACGGGGAAAATAAATGGGGAACATGTTGTTGAAACGTTTTTGCATGTAATGTTACTTATATGATTTCACATTCAATGCTGCTCACTTCATGTGATACCGATTTGCATTTTCTTCAGAGGAAAAGTCGAACTAATTTTGAAGCTTAATATGTCTTTAATAAGGAGTGGTATTCAATAATTTGGTTTAGCACTGGCAGATACAGATCATATGAATTGTTTTCTTTTCTTTGAGCTTCTTTTGATGCTATATTTTTATTATAAGGGGGACAAATACATTTGGATGCTATTCAAGTCTCGCAAGAGTTGTCTCTCTTGCTACATTTGATGCGATTTTCAACATAATAGCGTTTTTTATGTAGCCCATTTTATACATAAAAAGAAATTCAATGATTAAAAGTTTAATGATATTATTAATTATAATAATAATAATAATAATAATAATAGCAATAATAATAATAATAATAATAATAATAATAATAATAATAAGAAGAAGAAGAAGAAGAAGAAGAAGAAGAAGAAGAAGAAGAAGAAGAAGAAGAGAAGAATAAGAAGAAGAATAAGAATAATAATAATACAAAATGTGATATGTTCTTCATTCAACCATGAATATTCCAATATTTAATGATTTCATCCTCTGTAACCCATGTGTACTCGTTACGTATATAGTTGAGCGGATTCAGTACCCGTGGGTTCCGACGATAGTTGGTTTAAACATATTTATTTAAGCTCGATTGTGAAACAAGTTCATGCAACTTATATTTATCACTCCGAGGCCGCTTCCTGGAACCAACCAGTACCGGTGTCATGTGAATAAACGTGGTTGTAATCCGAGTACGGCTCGAACTCTGTCACCCAAGATCTCTGGGTTGAGAGGCAGACACCTTAACCACTAGGCCACCGCTCTCAGGCGATAATGATTGTATGAAAGATTTATTATATACTCGATTATAAAAAACAAATCACTCTATAAATCAAACTCAGTTTTTATTAATTATAATTTATATTTGTACATGTATATGAATGCAATAAATGATTGTAATAAATGATTGTATAAATGAATGAACACAGATCAATTACATCTAAAATCCGATATTTCAACAAATGTTTTAGAAAAGCTATCAAATTACGCATTTAAATAAAGTACATAGTTATATTAAAAAGCCACATTAAAGCAATTATTAACAAAAGTCATATAAAATAATTTGGTTTAGTAAATTATTAAAATCAATTTAATTATGAGTTAAAACATCAAAGCCTAGGATCAATATAACTATAAAATGAAATCAATTTTGAATTTCAAATTTCTTTTTTAAACTCTATAAAGGCATTTAAGTAAGGTCTTTAAATTAAAAAGTGGAATCACATTTCACATTCTGTTAAAAACTGCATTTCATTTAAGATCTAAAAACATTCACTTGTTTATTCATTCGATCAAATCAAGTTAACCTTCATTAGTCTATTTCTTTAGAAATTTTAAAGCAAAAACAATACAAGACCATTTTACATTGAAGTATAAAGGTCAAGTCACATGTTAAAAGTTTATGTTATACATTTTAACACATTACTATGCTTTTATCCTACCGCTTTTAGAATTGATTCGTAAAAACGGTATTGCACGACGGTGCATATGTTATACTATTTTATAGTATTTTGTCGTGACGTCATGTATGCCTTCTATACAAATTCGTTTCCCTTCAAATAGAAATTCATGCAGTTAAGACTCTCATTTATGAATACTGAATGAGTTTCCTTTGCATACATTATAAAATAACCCCTGATACATGAAAAAGTTACTGATTTGTTTACCATGAAAGACGCTGCGTATTAATACTGAACACTCGTCACGGACTAATTTTTCCCACATCAGGAACAAACGCAGTGACTTGACGGACAATATCCTCTCTGACAATTGTCACAGCACCACTTTGGCATGCCGGGAGTAGCCGAGTATGGTAAAATAGCTCTACATGTTAGACTTTTCGAACATACCATGACTGTATTTCCGGTTTTTGGTTTTACTGTTGTTGTTGTTGATGTTGTTGTTGTTGTTGTTGTTGTTGAAGATGATGAAGATGATGGTGTTGATAATGACGTAGTTTGTGACGTCGTTGATGTTGTTGTGGGTGATGTCGTAGTTTGTGACGTTGATGTTGTTGTTGGTGATGATGACGTAGTTTGTGACGTTGTTGATGTTGTTGAGGGTGATGACGTAGTTTGTGACGTTGATGTTGTTGTGGGTGATGTCGTAGTTTGTGACGTTGATGTTGTTGTTGGTGATGACGTAGTTTGTGACGTTGTTGATGTTGTTAAGGGTGATGACGTAGTTTGTGACGTTGATGTTGTTGTTGGTGATGACGTAGTTTGTGACGTTGTTGATGTTGTTGAGGGTGATGACGCAGTTTGTGACGTTGATGTTGTTGTTGTTGGTGATGATGTAGTTTGTGACGTCGTTGATGTTGTTGTTGGTGATGACGTAGTTTGTGACGTTGATGTTGTTGCTGTTGGTGATGATGTAGTTTGTGACGTCGTTGATGTTGTTGTTGTTGGTGGTGATAATGATGTAGTTTGTGACGTCGTTGATGTTGTTGTAGATGATGTTAACGATGAGGAATGGGTTGATTCTAAAGTTGAAGAAGATGACGCAGCAGGTGATGTCGTCATTGTTGATGTTGATGTGCTGAAATAGATCAGAACAGAAGTGCATCTATTTTTATTTCTCAAAAGCATTTTGTTCTTTACATTTCATTAATAGTTTCCTCCGGCAATTACATCTGTCTTAACTACAATTTTCTTCATTTTTTTGCAATAAGTCGATAGAACTGTTATATAGTGATTTTGTATGGAAGTAAAATTACTACATGTACTTTGTTTTCATTTTGCTTCTTTCATGACAAATAATTTCAAAGTTTTAGCGCAACTTTGAAATTGCTAAAGTATTTAGAGGATATTGGCTTTTACATAAAAGATTTTATGTTGCTGCAGCTATAGAAGGCTTACCTGGAATATGATGACGTCAGCACCTTCATAGTGGTTGATTGGCGGACAGTAGAACTACTTGTTGTGGTGGATGAATTCGTGAGTATGTCATCAATCTTGATATCAGCGCAGTTAACAAAGTTCTCCTGGTTTCCACGGCCTAATGCACAAACACCGGCATCACAACCCCAACTATTTCCTATAAATAGTGATAGAATTAAATTTTATAACCAATATCTTTTATTCTCTCTTTCGAAATCCAGTCACAATTTATAAAAAAAACTAAATTTTTCACAAATGCATCAACCTAAAACGTTTCGAGGGGTTTAATCCCTCTTTGACAAGGAGTTTGCTGTCAACGGCGATTTACGGTAAACTTCTCAAAGTTTTTCAAATTTATCAAACTAAAGCTACACCGGGGTATATTTTTCACAAGTCACTTCACGCTGATCCTTGTATTGATTATTTGTAAACAGGATAAATTATAATTTTGTGATTTATAAGATAAACAGTAAAGTCCTTGAAAAAGAGGAGTTTTGCCGTTTTGGGCGTTTATTAGGGATTCTGTTGTTCATTATATACATTATGATTACATCATGTGATTTCTACAAAACATATCTAAAAATAATAGGTACTGCAAACTTTCACCATGATATTTATCAACACCAATATATTAAGTTAGATAAGGTTTTTCAACTAGAACTTTGTGTCGGCATGGCCGAATGGTAAACGCGTCGTACTAGTATTCTAGTGATCGCTAGCTGCATGGAGTCAAACCATGTCAGGGGCAAGTCCTTGATTTCTTGAGCAAGTCACAACTCAGTGGTTCAAGGAACGGATTCGAAAGTGTCTCTATAAGCTTATAGCTTCCTTTACAATCGAACTAAAATAAATTCTGCATAAAACAAATTGAGCGTATAGTCAATGTTTCTCCTTGAATCAGATAGTTAAAATTACAAACCAGTGTTGTATTTCCATTGTAGCACGCATTTCTCACATGATATGATATCAGGTAACTGTAGTTCTATCTCGAATATCTCCACACCTGTTCCTTGTTTAATATCCTTCAAAATAATCCGTGTAGTGCTCGAACCCGCTACCATCAGTAGGTTCTGGTTTAAGCACTCCTGTGTGACCACAGTGGTGGGAGTTTCCAGTGGGCATAGTCTGCAATAAACTTAGCGAAATTAATAAAAAAACGAATTAAGTAACTATGTTATAGTGACATTTTCTCCAACTCTTCGCTATTTCCTCTAACCAAACGAAGTAATACCCCCCCCCCCCATAAAAAATTCAAAAGAAAAAGAAAATTAAAAATTGTATTTTAATTGCGATGGGCATACATGTAATTGTAACAAAAAAGATAACTTAACAGCAGCCGACAATTTGTTGATAAATCTTTCTTTCTTTCCTTCTTTACATTATTATCATTGTGTTTGTTCAAAATTCAAATTCATTCCCCTTTAGACGTCATATTCAGTAATTCATTAGAAAGTGTTTTATGCTTCTGTTTATATCAATCAACTTTATCGTTTAAAATCTTCGTTCAGAATTCATGTAAGTCCATATCAAACATGTAGCAAAATTAATGTCGATTATTCATATTCAGTTTTAAACATTGTGTAGACAGTATAGATTAAAAGGAATATTTCAGAAATGTGCTGGTTTTATTGGATGAACCACTATCTGTGAGCTCGTGATCTCGACTATCCGTATATATTTATCAAATATGTACAGAAATTTGCTATTTTTATCTTTAGGTCATAATGTACCAGTATTAAGGATGCTATTTAAAAGCCACATACCTGAATTCAAACCAGCCTTTATGGTACGCCGTAATATCAACTTTTGCCGTCAGAATATCACCTTTGACGTAACTTCCGGTTATGACGCCATTCTTTACGTATTTACCGTCGGCATCTTCGTTTGGTTTAACTGCAGCACTAAATGGGTCACCACAAACACCACAACGGCCTTTGTTGACGGCGTTATACTGTACCTGTATATAAATAAGAAATACACATTTTAAGAAACTTTATTATTATCATTATTATTATTATTATTATTATTATTACTATTATTATTATTATTATTATTATTATTATTATTATTATTATTATTATTATTATTATTATCATAACTTAATTTACAGAATTGCGATATTGTACGGATTTGTCATTCCATACATTCAGAGTGACCAGCTCATAATTTCAATTATGTTTTATTCTGGATAATAGCGGTTCGCTAAGATCAACATACATTATAATTTGAGTGAATTCGTTTGAAATCATGTATTCGTGATGTTGAAATCGTGAATTCTTGAAGTAGAAATCCTGAATTCTGTATGTTGAAAACACGATTCACGAAGTTAACATTTTGAATTAACGAAGGTAAAATCGGGAATTCATGAAGTTGAAATGGCCCCACCGGTCTACGAAAGACCGGTAGGGCCATTTCAACTTCATGAATTCCCGATTTCATCTTCATGAATACACAATTTAAACTTCGTGAATTCCCGTTTTCAAAACACGGAATTCAAGAATTCACGATTCAGCTTCATGAATTCACGACTTCAACTTCATGAATTCATGACTTCAACTTCACGAATTCACGATTTCAAATTCATGATTTCACGATTTCAACTTCACGATTTTACGATTTCAACTTCACGAATTCACGATTTCAATTTCATGAATTCACAATTTCAACTTCAATGAATTTAACTTCAGGAATTCACGATTTCAACTTCACGAATTCACGATTTCAACTTCATGAATTCACAATTTCAACTTCATGAATTCACAATTTCAACTTCATGAATTCAACTTCAGGAATTCACGATTTCATCTTCATGAATTCACGATTTCAACTTCATGAATTCACGATTTCAACTTCATGAATTCAACTTCACGAATTCACGATTTCAACTTCACGAATTCACGATTTCAACTTCACGAAGTTGAAATTGTGAATTCGTGAAGTTGAAATCGTAAAATCATTAAGTTGAAATCGTGAATTCATGAAGTTGAAATCGTGAATTCTTGAAGTTGATATCGAGAATTCATGAAGCTGAAATCGGGAATTCATGACGTTGAAATGTCCCTACCGGTCTTTCGTACCGGTCTTTCGTAAATTTCTCCGCTACTAATTAGTACACATTTAAGTAATGTGAATAATTCTTTGCACTGAATATATTCGATTAATGTTATCTGACAAATGAAAATGTGTGCCTTTAAAGATATAACAATTCACGACAATGCAAGTTCATTTCAAAACTGTAAGGTTTAAAAATGATTTTATATCGCCCTTGATCAATATTGTGATTGAATTTTGTATCTATTTATAACCGGGTATTTAAAATGAAAAGCGCGTGTCCATTGTAAAAGGAGTGTTGCTATATATAGCCAACGTATCATGCATGGTTCAAGGAGTTTAAACCTTAGATCATATCGCATTAAATATACACCCCACGGGAGTGGACCGTCCTACATAAACATTAAGTTAACATTAATGATCAAGATACTATCGAAGAAAGTTTTTGTACGACCCCAGCATTAAGCTGGCAAAGAAAATAATACGCGCACTGCAAACGACACTTACAACCCATGTAAATTACCAAAAAAGTGATCAAAATATATGCAAAATTAGCCCTTACTGCGTTAGTAACACAGTAGAATTATGGTGAAAATTACTGAAAAATCGGCCATTTATCGCGAATTACATGGGAATTATTCCTTTTATCTTCAGTATTTTTTACTTTTCATAAAACCTCAATGCATTTTTCTCAAGTGTGACTTCTTGAAATATTTTGGCTCATCTGGAGGCATGCAGTTTTAAGCCAACTTTTGAAAATAAAAAATTGTTGGATATAAACATGTTTATCATTGTAACAAAATGTTGTTACATCGAAACTATCTCCAGCACATTTTTGTAAAACTGGCCTCATCAAAGCTATTGGCTCCTTTAAAGGCTCATTATGCCCCCCAAAATGCTTTAATTTTTATTTCTCAAATTATTTTTCATTGTTGGTATTCTTTCAAAATTTTCAACAAGTTACTCTTTGGCTTTATCACCTAATGGTACTTTGTATAAAAGTCAAAATACTACTTTGTTTACATTTTTCTACATTTATGACATATTTTATTACATTTTGTGCTATTTTTTCTTCAGGTAGCATGCTTTTAAACGTTTACTTAAACATTTTATAAAACTTGTGTTTGATCTTTCTAAAGAAATAAATATTTATTCATTCTAATGCATAATGTGCCTTTAAGGGTATTGACCTGTATGCATATTTTTGCATACTTTTATTTTATTGTGTTTTTTTCTTTTTCGTTGTTTCAAGATACTGGTTGCTTTTATTTATTAGTAAGTTTTAGGACTTTAGCAAATTAATATTTTGATAATGTTCGCAAACAATTTTTAGTATTTCATTTCACTTTAAAATCATTTAGGGAATATGGACATTTTTTTTATACGAGTGTGCAGAAATAAAGAGACGCATAATTATATCAAAACTGTGGCCCATTTATGCCCAAACCTTTGTTTGTATTAAAGTTCAATATTTGATTTATCCTTGGTTTGATCAAAATAAACATTTGTTAAAAATGCACATACTTTTACCTATATACACATCGTGATTGAAAGGCACATTATGCTTAATAATTGATTTTACCATATTTTATATAGGACAAACATGTTTTGATAACTTTTGATAAAGTTTGTACATAAAGGTTCTAGTCTATTTTAGATATATATCACCTAAAGAATGTAGCGCTGAATAGCAAAAATGTAAACAAAGTAATATTTTGAGTTCCATAGAAAAATATTAAATCACTGTTACTGTAAAATAAATTGCTTAAAAGCAACTTTTTGTATGCTATGTAAAACATGAACATATTTGAATGGAATAACAACAACAAAAACAACAACAACAACAACAAATGTAATAACTTACCGCGAACCCACCACAGAACAACTCGTTATCGTTGTAATTTTTCGGGTTATCGTACCCAAACCTCCAAGCAGACGACCTCTGTGCCGGTTGAATCAAGCGTCCATGTGATGCCACGTGCCAAGTCTGAGACAATATGGCCGCCATTCCAATCCAAAAGATTTTAAACGTAAACATTTTGGTCTCTTTTTTAGTTATTACTATATTTTTTTTTTTTCTTCTTACTAATATTTTCAATTCAAAATCTGTTTGTAAATTTTAACCCTTTCTTTTACTTTTTAAAACAATAATTTAATATTTTTGTAAATAAATCTTTATACTAAAACAAAAATGAAGCTGTTTTAGAAACTTCCCGATTGAATGTACAAACACGATAAATGTATATTAACTTCTCAAATGCGCTTTTTATAGGCCGAAATCAGGCCGAAAATAGAAATTAATGTTGTCTCGATAGATAGATCAAGTTAATCTAATTCGTCTCGGTTTAGTCAACCATTTTATACAGTTACAGGCGATATGTTTGTACCCGATAGCACCCCGATGACGAAACACAAAAACTATTTTCCTACCCGGATTATAAATTTGATAATAAAGTACGTCACACGATTCTTACAATAGATTTGACTAATCAAATATTGGTATTAATTTATGATACATTATATATCATTATATAGTACTTATCGTACGTGTTATTTATGTATTGAAGTCACTTAAACACAAGCTAATCTATGGAGAAGTTGATAGTTTAAAAGACAAAGCTTTCGTCTCATGTAAAAGTAAATGTTTATTTTATATATAATGTCATAAACAGGGCCTTGTTTTACAGTGTATCTTTTGCCGTGCGAAATGTCCTTTAGTCAGAAAACCCTTCTAAACCGGGCAATAATTTTGACCAAGAAGTCACCAGATTTAGAGAGGTTGTATTTGTATAGGATAAAAGATAGTACTGGTATTTAGCGAACTATGGTACTGTAGATATAAAATGGTATGATTTAACAGGTTCAAAGTAAAATTGTAAAACAAATGAATGCAGAACGGCCATAAAAAACGTTCTTAGCGTATTCATGTCAACCAAACAGTGCAAACTTTCGTTATGCGCCTTTAAACATGCTTATTTGTTTATCTATAATGAATTTGCAAGTCGCACCGTTACAGAACGGGTCAATTGTATCATTTTTGTATTGGCCCTATTTGAAGCCCCTTCAAATCAACGTTCATAATAAATTTTTACGAGTAAACTAATGAAAAACATTGTAGGCAACGTTTAAATCTAGATATATCAACTAAAATTAAAGCATTTTTAGAAAAGGGGGAACAAATGCGCCTCCTTTCAGCATTGAACGGTTAAGTCGCTTGGATTAAAAGGTATGATCTCGATACCTTTAAGACATGAGGAGTCGATGGTTGACATAAGAACCATCGGCATTGTGCCTTCCTCATTCACACAATGCTTATGTTTGTTACTATTATTGATATATTAAGGGGGCCTTTGTGGCCGAGAGGTTAAGATCGCTGACTTGAGCTCACAGGTCCCTCACCACTGCAGGTTCCATCCTCACTCGGGTCGAAATCTTTCACACGAGGAAGTCACCGAGCTGGCTTACGGAAGGTCGGTGGTTCTACCCAGGTGCCCGCTCGTGGCTGAAATAATGCCCGGAGGGACACCTGGGGTCTTCCTCCACCAATAAAGCTGGAAAAAATCGACGAAAATAATCTCGGCGGGACGCTCTAGGATCGTCCGCCTCGTCTGAGTGTACGGTCGCCCATATGGGCTTTCCGGCGACGACCTATAAACGCATTAAAAAATTGTTACTATTGATTCAATCGACTTAACCATTCAATGCTGAGACGAGCCAAATTTCTATCCCCTTTTTTCATAAACTGCTTTAATCAAATTTGGTATATCTAGATTTAACGTTGCTTACATTGTTTTTCATTAGTCTATTCGTAAAACTGTATTATGAACGTTGTTTTGAAGGGGCTCCAAATAGAGCCAATACAAAAACTGATAATAGTGTTTACATTGATAAATTCAACAAGTTAAGTACGTAAACAAGGCGCGTATTATTGATGTATCCGTTAATAATATATAACATCATCAAGTCCTTCCGAGTGATTTCGGAAATTTATTATCAAGGTGCGTGTGACGTCAGAAAATAGTGTGAAGTGGACAGATTGACATGTCCTTTGCCCGCGTGTAAGGCGACTACCCTTTTGAAGGAATGCGATATTAAATATTACTACGTACTGTATATGTTGTAATTTTTATATTGCTTTATCTGTTCTTTTTTTCTTCTTATCAACATACGTCACAATCTGAGATAGGTAGATGCACCTTTTGTAAGATGTAAAACGTATGGTGGCTGATTCATGCCGTGTCGTATTTTCGCTCAGGACAAAAAGCACGAAAGTTCGACAAAATGGTGACTTTGTCGTATTAATTATTGTGATTTTGCCTTCCGCCCCTTTGAGCGAAAGTACGTTGTATTTTCATGTTTTCGCCTCGCTCCACACGAAGCGAAAATACATGGTCCCAGTCAGCCACCATAAAAAGGAATTTTATGATTTACAGACTGAAGAAAAATGTAAATCTGGTAACGTAAATGACACCTACATTGGTTCAAATATGTACAAAATACTTATTGACAATAGCCTACGGAGGAATAACCTGCGTTTCCAATTACCAGCTGCTCTAGTAATTAAAGGCACATTATGCCTCAGAAATCCATTATTTTCTAATTCTTTAGAAAGGCAAAACATTTGTTTGATAATGTTTTAATGATGTATTTATAGCCTGTTATATGTTTAACAGCTGAAGAAAGTAGAGCTAATACCCCGGTCACATATTCACGGAAAACGCCCACGGAAGAGGGCCAAAAAGGATTAATTTCCGGGATTCGCTCCGTATACCCGTAAATGGTCAAATAGCTTCCGTATTGTAAAAAGTTAAAAATCGTAGTATCCTTGTATACCGTAAAACGATCCTTGAAAAATTTTTTTAAACACAACAAAAAAATTTTCTACGGAAAAAACAACCGTAGCGTTCCCTATTAGTTTCCCTATTAAAACCGTAAAATGATACGCCCCTGGTCCGTTTTCGAAAAACCCCCAAAAAGGGCCGTACTGAAATTTGTAGGCCCTTAAACTTGTTTAAGGAATTTCCCCGGTTTTGGGAAGGAGAACTAAAAGTATTTTTTAAAGGGTTTCCCTGCGTATAAGCTAAAGGTAAATTTAAAACGGGGTAACACGGCATTGTCCCCGGAAAAGGGCCAAAGATCGTAAAAACGTTTTACTACGGGGAGGCCCGGGAAAAGCACGGGCCCTTTTACGGTTTTTTTTTGCGTTTCCCTCAAAGAAAAAGGTACGGAATGGTATGGTCAAACCCCCTGTTTAGTTTTGGAAAATTTAGTACCTTACTTTTTTAAGGGTAAAATAAATACTACATTCTTTTTAAAAACATACATGTTTTCGTGAACATTCAATAAAAGATAATTTCCCCTTTAAATGGCTGCAAAAAGTAATATTGGAAAAGGCCAGAAGCGGAGGCAAATGGTCGAGTTTTCCCTTTAGACAGCATAAAAAATAAAAATATGTTAATACAAAAAACGAGCATTTAAATTTAAAAAATAACATTTTTAAAAGTTACATATTTTTCAAAAAAATTGGGTCGTGAAAATTTGGAAATAAAATTTTAAAATAAAAGAAGTGTCTCCAAAAAAGCCCCGGGCCTGGCCCTTGACTGAGAATATAAGATTAATTAACAACCCTTTTTTAAAATATTTTTAAAAACAAAAACCCTTTCAAAATAATTAAGGGTAATTGTAAAAAAACCCCGGAAATTTTAAAGATAAAAAAGAGAAAATTGACAAACTTTTTCCCTTTTAATGTTTAAACAGCCAAAATCTAATGAGGTAAAAAGAAGAAGAAGAGAGGGTTTGACTAAGAGGAATTTTTTACGGAAAAATGAAAAAAAAAGACCCAAAAAGGGAAAACAGGGGCGGTTTTTCAATGAACGAAAACCCCCCTTTAAGCCCCCTTTCCCAGGTTTTTGAAAGAAGGACTAAATGGCCGAATTTTTTCGGGAAATCCGGCGCCCCCTTTAGGAAATTCACAAATAATCGAACCTGATTTTCCCGGGGGGATCGCCCCATTGAAACCCATTGAACTCGGGCAATTTTTTTTCTAGGTGTTCTTTTCTTGTAAGGCATTTTGAAAATAAGCATGCAAGAGGTTATGGACGGATATAATAGGTCCGTATAGACCCGTGGCAATTCGTTCTTATCCGTATCAATTCGTTCTTCTCCGTATCAGACCGTACTTATTCGTACTAACCCGTGCTTATACCGTAGCAGACCGTAGTATTTCCGTAGTGCGTCCGTCCTGATTCGTGTCGCTCCGTATCAAACCGTGTTGGTCCGTAACAATCCGTGTCTCTCCCGGGGCTTTTGGTGGTAAATCCGTCGAACTCCGTACTCATACCGTTGTGTGTCCGTACTGGAACCGTAGCGGACTACGGAATTTCACATTTCCGTAGTAATCCGTGAACGATTAGACCGTAGCTCTTCCGTGGCATTATCCGTGAATATGTGACCGGGGCATAAATGTGTCGAAAAGGTAGCAAAATGTAAACAATGTAGTATTTTGACTTCCATACAAAAAACTAATTCATTATTATAATACCAATAGCAAAAGCGCAAAAGAAGCAAAAGGTAATTCAGATCTATATGGCAAATGAGTATAGTTTGGTATAATTTATTTATTTATTTATTTATTTATTTATTCATTTTTATCATTATTGTTTTTTTTAGAAATACAAATGATAGCATTTATGAGGCATGATGGGCCTTTAATTTATCACATGTTATCATATTTTATGATTTTCTTGAAGTATCTTTCAGTTCTTTTGCTCTTTGGCAATCAGTATAATTAGAGTGAGTGGAAGTCTAAATTTTTACATTTTACTACATCTAGGATGCTCTAATTCCATTATGAAAATATTATTAAACACATATCTGACCTTTTAAGAAATTAAAACGTTATCGATTTCTGAGACATAATTTAATGTGCCTTTAATTTATTAACATTATTGTCTAAAGTTTAAATTCAGACTTCAAAATACATACTTACTATTCTACTCGCTCCTTCCTTACTAAAACACACATACATGCACATACATATCTTTCGCTTATTCTGCACATATTGTTGTAATTCATGATCAGTCAAAATTCACTGTCTCGCCAAAAGTAGATAATAAGTCAAAATATCGTAAAAAATATCGTAAAGGGAAAATAACAAAACAACAATAACAAAGTAATACGTTTAACTGCAGATTCGATTTAATTGAGTCTGTTCATATGGGACAGACAATATGCAACTTTTCTTAAGCTCCCTGGCACCGGCTTAAGCCCACACTAGACGTAAAGGTCTCGACAATTGACTTTATTTTTCAAGTGTTAATTGACACGAGTTAAAAGGTATGGCCAAACTTGGTCATTCCTTAGATGAAAAACAAAAACCTCTGATTCAGAAATATAATTCAGTACAACTTAGTAAAATTAATTGACCCGTCCTTTATAAATCACAAAAGGTGTGAAGTGTACCATCTCATT